CATACAAATTTAATATACGGCTTCCGATCTCCATGGAAATGAGAATCTCTCACCTCATAATGGCAGTACGTTGCTATTTCATAAGTTCTAATGGCGCTCTTTAACGCTTCCAGTGATGGAAACGCTACCAGATACAATGTATTCAAAAATGCATTTTCCATTTCTGTGACTACGTGAGGAACAACAGAGCCTGTAATTTGCACGTTACTGACGTCCATATTGTGAAGAAAATTATCTATATCGATAAGTACAGAGCTTTTATACGAATTTCAAGAATTACATAACCAATTATAACGCATTTACAACTAGGAATTTCATTGGACGAAACGGCTTGAAAGAAATTGGAAAATGGGATGAAAATCTTTTGATACAGCTTTTCATTGTTCGTCTAGTATGTTTAACAAAGGGAACTGTTGATTTGGAAATATCATTCTAGACTTTCTAAATAAATAACGTTTACAATGTTATTTACAAATGATAATAAAAAATTCAGATCATTATTTTGAAAGGCTGTGCACTTAAAAAACATAGGCTGTTAACATCACCTGCCAAAAAAATATTATGCCCACCTGACAAATACAATTACCGTATTACATGACTGAGTACACTAACATGTATTTTCGGTGATCATTAATAAGTGATCAACTACAAAGAATGTACAGGTCAACATATTTTATGCTTTTAATGGATTTACAAAAAAACCTTGATAACAGTATTACGTTCATTTTCGACACCCTTTTCAAAGTTAAAATGATCAACTTTTTGGTATTAAGAATAACGGTTTGCAAAATAACTGAATTATAAAGATTATTTGCTTTTTTCTCAGACATTATTACTAATTTCAGATTGTGTAAAAGTTGCTTCATTTACACATCTCTTACGGTTAGTGTGACTTCGGCATGCCCCATTCACTTTCTCTTCATCATTTACACGAATATAACGTTTCATTAAATGACCGAACTATGTGTTTAAATTAACTTATGGGAATACTTAAATGAAATTGTGTTCACTAATTGTGTATTAAACATTTGAGACTACCTTTGAATTTCAATAATCACCATTATCAATTATTAATAACAGCTGTCAGTTTTTTTTCTTCAAAAATTAACTTTCAATGATCTACACATTATTATTATTACTCTTGTCACGATAACTGATAACTTTAGTTGCATTTCTACTACATTACAAAAAAAAATTATCCTGATATACATTCACTAACAGGAGTATAGCAGGGTAATGAAATGGATTTGTTTTTTGTTTTTTTCGAAGTTAAAATTTTTTACAAAACTCAGATGGAACAATGCGAAAATAGTTAACTATTGTAAATAATAATCGGATGTAAAAATGTCAATTCTTACATCCAATAAAAGCACTTTATTCTAGTTCGATTTGAACGGATCAAATTACAAAACTGCACCATTTACAACCAATTAAAAAATTATTACAGGTGACAAAATATTTGTTCATTTGCACTTGAGCACACACTTTCAAAAATAAGTTCACCAATCACCAATTGCTAAATTTTTTTCACATCATTTTCGAAAAAAGGGTGATAGGGGGATAATACGAGCCGTGATTTTAATGTCAACCGAAGAATAGGGTGCATTTTATTTAATTAACATTTTAATAGAGATATTGAACCAATTGATTTTGAGTATTATGTTGACCAATTGAATTTTGACTTTTGTTTATAATGGTTAATTGAAGATTATTTCTCCATCACAGAATAACATTGCAATGAGAAGTATTAAAAGTTAGAATTCAGTAAAATGTTATTTCAACATAGATATATACTGTCATCTGTTCTCACCTTCCACTTCTCAACTCATTCACCAGGTGCTTGTGGTGTGAGCCACACTGTAAGCTTGATGTCCAACTAAGTATTAATAGGGGGCTTTGAATCTACGGTCAAATAGCTGAAAGTCCAACGCCATGACCACTGAAACACCAATCCACAAGGGATTTCAACTATACACTTATAGTTTATTTCTTATGAGATTAACTGAAGTCATCTCTTGGAATGAGTCTGACAGAAACTTTCGATCATTTCTTTGTAGGCTATTGTATTCATTTGCCATTTTCAGATTATCATAGAGCCTCAGTGAATAATGGTATTTTATGCTTTTGATGAGCATGAAAGTGCAGGAGGTTGTAGTAGGGTCGAGTCGAGGACGGACTATGATCACTACTACTATAAGATTACGTGCCCAGAAACGACTTTCTTCCTTTGATAACGCGTAAACCAGAAGGCTTTATTAATCCAGATCAAGTATATTTATTGGCGATCTCGTGGTATCGATAGAATACCGAGACGTGCCAACGAGTACAGGTGAAATGTGCAGAGCGTAAGAAAGTTCGAACCGAACAAGGTGGATAGCGGAACAAGAAGTGAGTGTGATACAGTTAAACAAATACAGTAAAACAATCTCTGGTACAATTGGTTACAACAATAATAATTGTTTCTATTGTTCCCATCGCGTTGTTATCGAGACCAGTCGGTCACTACAAGGTTTTCTATGATGAGAAAGTGTCAACTCGGCTTTCATTTTGTAATTTTACTCAGCACACTGAACCAGCGAACACAGTCATCATGTTCATAACCGTTATATGAGAGACGTAAATGAAGTCAATCAGTACCAAATATTGAAAAAAAACTCTTCGAAATCGTTGGCTGTAAACTAGTAGGAACAAACGAAAAAGTTTTTCTACAGATCAAAATTTGTAATATCATCAATTTTTGTTCGGTCTGGATTTAAATTCGTAAAGGGAACTAACTGAATTACAATAAAGTTTGCTGGTTTCATCTGGCTTATTGTATATAGTGGAGTAAACAGCCATCAGCAAACCGTAAAGAACGTTATATGACAGGTAGGAATTCCGACTTACATATCCGTCACTTGGTGGCGTTAGTTTTTGTGCCTGCTGCAGACATAAATGAATCTCATAGTTTAACAAAGTTACCGTCTGATATATAGAATAATGACGAAATTAAAGAGTTAAACAATTAATTTGAAAATAACTGAACCAGAAGACTAATAAGATGGAAGGACTAAAGAGACCCGATTTTGCAAGTTCTACCATGGAACACTCTCAGTTCCGTGATGGAATATCTTCCTAAAATAATTTATCTTGTTGAACGGTGTCATATAGGCTTTATCCATATTATTGTCGGCACTCATTCAGATTTATAGTGATCTACTGATGCTCCAAAGAAGAAACAGAAGCCGAATGAATTGAACATCGAATAGTATATTGCAGAGATCCAGCCACATCACGTAAAAAGGAAGTACAGGATGGTAGATAAGTTTTACATATACGTTAAATAATAGAATCACCACTTTGACGCTTGCCTTTTTTGTTGTTCGCCCTAACATATGCCCCAAGTTGGGAATTACCGATACAAATACCGTTGAACATGTGATTGATTTATTAGTGATTGTGCATTTTATGTTTCGTTTGCTCATTTATTGGTCGAGGAGATTCTACATACTTGTAATTCTTATTACTTAACTGTGAATTTGATCGACAATTTAAAGAAATTAAGTATGAGATTTGTTCATCAATAAAGGATCCAAACATTATCTTTTACCATTCCATAATACTAACATAATGATGTGGGTATTGATAAAATACTCTCATACTACTATAAAGTTAATTGATTCAGTTACGTGTACAGAACGGTAGCCTCTGTCTCTATTTAATTTGATTATCGATTACAGTCGAAATAAAATATTCCATAAATGTTCATATTTAGACTTCTGATTTAACTCTGTTGTTAAGAATAGGTGGTGTTACAGTGTTTTTAGTTCGATAAGAAATACAAACTAATTTGAGATCGTTTACGTTATATTTAATCAAGGCAGCGCGTTGAGTGTATTTCATCCCTATAATTACTACCCGTGATTATACCAGTCTGGTCTATTTAGGAACAGAAGAAGTGATAGGGAGATAACGATGTAATCAATCACAAGAAACATGGATATATACCTTATTAAACGGATACATTGTAATTAATAAAAAGACAATAAGAAAACAATTAAAATAATGGTAACTAATGATAGAAGTAGTACTTCAAGGTGGATTTTGTTTATTACCCTGAAGAAGTCCAAAGAAGTTAGCTGGATGAAATGTTGGAATTATTTAAATTTCAATTGCTGAGATTATTTCAAATATAATTTTCACTTATGATAAATACCTGAATCGTTAAGTCGATTTTAGAATACAAATGAATTTTGGATATTGTTAATACCGTGGTGTGGGTTACTTATACCCACATAAGTAGTATATTACGGTGGTCGGGCATTGAATGTATTTCAGTAGAAGATCGATAATGAAAGAACGGGAACGAAGCGCGATTGGTGTGAAAATGCATGAACAATAATAATAGGAGACGATGAACTGATATTTACAGAAGGAACAGTCAAGACTGAGTCAATTGATTGATAGTTTGTAAATTAACTATTTACTATATGGTTCACATATTTCACTGAGATATACTGTTAGTTTGTTTAAATAAAATCGATTGTCCCCACTCGTTTTTTGCTCACTACACTACCATTACTACTACTAATAATAAAGGAAATAAGGCCGAGTATAGGTGGGGGAAAATACTTCACTAAAATGAATCGTTGAATAAAAATTCAACTATTTATTACACAAATGAAATATGTAGAACGAGAATTAAATTACATTCTACCATTTAACAAAATATATGTTTTAAAGTCTTGAACGTTATCCCACTTATTCTACTGTGTATCTTGTTTAACTATTGTCCACAATGAAGAGTTTATATGGATGTAATTTCCTGTGCATTTGTGAATATAATACAGATTTGACTGTGCATATAACAATGTTGATGTTGAGTCTACATCAGTGTGTTTGCTTTCTTGATTATTTCTATTCTTAAATAAAGGTATCATTCAATATAAAAGTAGTTTTGTTTCGTATTGTAAAGAACAATAGTATACAATAAAAGGGGGCAAATGAATCTTTGGAAAGAATTATTCTAATGAAATCAAAAAATATGTGTAGTGTTGCTTCTCAAAATACGTTGAAACTTTATATTTTACAGAATTTAATCCATCAGTTAACATGCGACTGACGGCATTTTCTAATAAGTCAAGTACTGAACGTAAGTTCCCTTTAACCTGCTTATCATGAGGTTGAGCCAGATATCTGCCTATTGACTTTTCAATATGTTTATACACAATATTTGATGCTTTCAGTCGCCTCTCCAAATCATCGTCCTCTCCACCCCAACCCCAATAACTATTGGAATAACCATTAACCTGTATAAATTGTGCAGATGATATTTTCAAAACACCACCAATCAATGATTTGTAAGGTAAAATATAATTCCATGTACTCACTCCAACACTCAAATGAACCACACTCTCCATCGTCTCTTCATCACAACCATGTGGTATTCTGTCATCCAACGGTATTAAGTCAGCATCATGAAATATAGCACAGTTGAAATAGAAACGTTTACGTGCTTCAATGAAACCAACATTCATCAATCGAGCTTTGTTCAAAATACCAGTACCTTTTTGTTCAATAACAAATATTCGATAACATAAATGTTGTCTTTGGAGAACTGGAATCAGACTGGACAATGTATTATTCAGTTGTTTCCATCTGTCTCTACAAACAATGATGATTGCTACACCGGATTGTGGAACGTTGCTACAATCGGTCGTCTCCTCCTTAAACATCCAACTGCCATCAAGACTCTGTGGATAAAATGTGTCGTTGATTGGGTTCATCTCTTCATTGAATTCACCAGTGAATGGCATTTTCCCCATTGGTTTCAATGCATTCACCTTACTCGATGGAACACTGTCAATATTCTTACAAATAGTACGACATGTTTGTTTACAAACATCAAGTGTTGTATTGGATGGAATAATTGCTTCGGCAGTGAGATTTTGTAAGGTTACATAATTGACAGTGGTACGCATGAAATATATTTGTAATAAGAAAATTGTACAAAATATTAATCCGACTGCTTTGGAAATTGCACAGTAAATTCTGAAGGATGATTTCTTCTTGGAAAACATTTGATTATACAATCCTTGTTATAAAAAACAATGGTAACAACGGTAACAATAACAGAAATAAATGTTGAGGAATAGGGTGCTTTTTATTTAATTAACATTTTAATAGAGATATTGAACCAATTGATTTTGAGTATTATGTTGACCAATTGAATTTTGACTTTTGTTTATAATGGTTAATTGAAGATTATTTCTCCATCACAGAATAACATTGCAATGAGAAGTATTAAAAGTTAGAATTCAGTAAAATGTTATTTCAACATAGATATATACTGTCATCTGTTCTCACCTTCCACTTCTCAACTCATTCACCAGGTGCTTGTGGTGTGAGTCACACTGTCACAAGGAATATGAAATCTGTTATTTCTATTTCGAGATGTTTAAACAAAAGTGAACAAGGATATTCTCAGACTCAAAAGGATGTTTCAACTGTGGTGTAGACAGTGAAAAGACTACATAAATACTTTTTTCGTGTAAAGTTCCATATTGTAACTGATCACCAGACATTAAAGTTTATTTACCATCTAACTAAGTCAAGACTCCTCCTGTAGCACCTCCAGGGGCTACTGCCGTTCCCAAGCTCACACAAAGTAGAAGGGTTGGGCATGGGGTTAGCGACCCCATCCCGTAGGAAACTCACTCGCCAAAAAACGCTAACAAGAAAAAATTATAATTTAAACTCTGCCCTACAAGTTGAAGGAAGAATTATGACGCCTCATGATGAAAGCCGGGTTCATTCGGAAGTCACGAGTCCGATGCCCCTTCTAACAACCAGAGCAACAATTTTTATAGGTGTATGGAACATCCGAATAATGTGGGAAACTGGGAGAATCTTCCAAATTGCTGCAGAAATGAGGAAATACAACCTGAAGGTGTTTGAAATCAGTGAAACACATTGGACGCAGGTTGGACAACAACGAATATCTTCAGGGGAGCTTCTGTTATACTCCGGTCATGAAGAAGAAAATGCCCCATATACACAAGGAGTTGCATTGGTGCTGTCCAAACAAGAATAAAATGCACTTATAGGATGAGAATCTCATGGACCAAGGATCATCAAAGCCTCCTTCGAAACAAAGAAAGAGGGCATTACAATGAACGTCATCCAATGCTATGCACCTACAAACGGCTACAACGAAGACGTCAAAGATCAATTCTACGATAGGCTGCAGTCAATCGTCGAGAAGTACCCAACCAATGACTGGTCATTTTGATATGAGACCTAAATGCTACAGTTGGAATGGACAACACTGGATACGAAGACATCATGGGACGACATGGACTGGGAGAAAGGAATGAAAATGGTGAGAGATTCGCAAACCTATGTGCCTTCAATAAACTGGTCATAGTCGGCACCATATTCCCACATAAACGCATTCACAAAACCACATGGACTTCAGCGGACCGCACTACGCAGAACCGAATCGACCATATCTGCATCCACAAAATGTTCAGGAGGAGGATGAAGGATGTGAGAACCAGGAGAGGAGCTGATATAGCATCAGATCATCACTTGCTGGTCGCCAAGATGAAATTAAAACTTAAGAAGCACTGGACAACGGGGTGGACGACATTGCAAAAGTTTAATACGGCTTTTCTTCGGGACACTGACAAACTCATTAAATTCAAGATAGCCCTCAACAATAAGTTCCAAACCTTTCATGAGCTACTCAATGGAGAAGGAACTACTATGGAGAGCAACTGGAAAGAGATAAAAGAGGAAATCACTTCAACACGTCAGGAGGTTCTGGGCAACAAAAATCACCACCACAAGTAATGGATCATTGTTGGTACACTGGATAAGATTATAGAAAAGAGGAACAAGAAGACAGCAATCAATACCAGCCGAACAAGAGCAGAAAAAGCCAAGGCACAAGCCGAATACACAGAAGTAAACAAGCAAGTGAAAAGGAGCATCAGAACCGGTAAACGTAAATATGTGGAAGACTCAGCAATAACGGCAGAAAAGGCTGCAAGAGAAAGAAATGTGAGAAAATTGTATGATACAACAAAGAAACAAAGAAACCCTCGTGCATAATCACGTGTATAATCGCGTTAGTGAGTAGCGGAATAAAATAAGTCCAATACGAGAGTGGATTTCGAATACGTATATTTCATGCAATCTTTGATCCAAACAGACGATCAGAGAAACGAAGCAAAGAGAAGCGGATCGGGGAGGCGTATGAGCTGACTCAATTTGATCAGGCGTGATTCGTTATTTATTACTTACTTACACCTGTTATCCCTCGTGGAGGAGCATAAGCCGCCAACCAGCATTCTCAGTCCAACCATGTCCTGGGCAATCCTTTCCAGTTCTTTACGGTTGTTATTCATCCTTTTCGTATCTCCTTCTATTTCCCAGCGTAATGTGTTCTTTAGCTTTCCTCGTTATTTACAGTCAGATAGAATTAGGTTACCGACACAATGAACAGCCTAAATAATTAACGCACATACAATAATATAAAAAACACTCAAGTTTAATAAGCGGATAAGTGACAATATAGAAATGTGACTTGAGAAGAATGAATAGATTGGTTTGTCCAGAGGCTAGAATAATCTATGTGGGCTTGACGTAGTACCCCTAAGACGTCATTGGCAATCCGCTGCCATGGTCCAGCAATGGAATTTACAGTTAGGTGTTTATGATTTCACCACTGAGCACTGAGTGCCCAAAAAGAAGCCACATACAGGTTTTCTATCACGCTAATCATAGTCTGAAGGACCACCTAGAGAAAGTGATTGTATGTTTGTCCAACCATTACCAGTTAATATGAAAGAACTTGTAAAGGCTACTTGTGAGGAAGGTGGAATTGTGATAAGTGTTGTGAAAAGCGGTTAGGATATTGAGTTCAAGAGTATTTTTCCTGAGTTTTACAAAAGGTGAGAAGAATATCACTGCATCCTGAAGGTTTTAATGTTAACGACAGAGTAACCATTCCCCCAACACTTTGATCTGCAATATGAGATGACTTTCACTCCACCCATCTGAGAGCAGAAAGAATGAAATCACTTGTACATCAGACTTGTTGGTGGTCTGAGATTGATTTTAGTATCAGAAATCGGAAAAATGTACTTCTTGTTTACATAAGCTGTCGTACAATAAACCTTTTTGGAGTCCTTCGCCTGAATCATGGGAACGTATGCAAGCCGATTAGTGTTACCCATTTCTAAACCCATATTGTGTTTTACTTATGATCGGTTCATAGTCTAACTGACCAAAAGTGGTACTCACAAGCACTCCTAGCGGACACTTCATTCAAAGAGCAATGATGAAGATATTTAGTCGTTAAGGTATACCTAATGTATTAGTAACTGATAACGGAAACCAGTTCACAGGAAGAGTTTGACAGCTGGCTTACTCAAATTGGATGCCGTCATCTATTTCCAGCTCCACAAAACCCTTCGTCTCATGGTTTAACGTAAAATTTCGTTCAAACTTTTCAGACTGTTATCACATCAGTGAATCCAAGTAATATCGAAGAGGTAGAAAAACGCACCAACGATTTAGTTCTTCAACGTCGTAATGCAAAAGACCCAAGAACTTACGATACTTCAGCTAAACTCTTTCAACATCAAATACTTCGAACTCACTTAGTGAATTAAACATCATCATAAGTAAAGTTTAGTCGAAGAAATGACTTGTGACCGTCAAAAGGAAGTATAATTTAGATAATGGATATTATGATGTTAAAGATTCTTGGCTTGAACGACCTTTCAGTTCAAAACAGAGATGTGGACCTAGTAAAGATTAATGGATTGGGTGATTATAAATCTAGTCAATCTCTAATTAATTCTAATTTTATGATCTAAGATGGATGGTGTTTAGCAGTGAAATGCAGGACGCGCATTTCGTTCCATTTGGGACTCGTCAGCCAGATGAATCTGTATCCCATCTGATGCTCACCCCGAGACTCGAACGCAGTACAGTTCGCCTCAAACGCCATCACGTTATCCACTTAGGAATGGAGTTCAGATGGCCACAAGTTTGTGCAATTGGAAGAAGTTTAATTCATTTTTGTATCGATTGTTTTAATCTTCTCATTGATATTTAAGACTGCAATTGACCAGTCTCTTATTGGCATATGCGCATCCTGTATGGATTGCCTCGATATTGCCTTAAGTCACAAGTGTTATAAGCAAAAATGGATGACGAATCTTAAATGGGATAAAACGTGCGTCCTGGATTATACTGGTAACCGACATTCATCTTTGCCTATAGTGCCAGTGACATAAAGCATTATCGCGGCAATCCGCAAAGGATACACACATGTCAATAACAGACTGATCAAATTCAGTCCTAAAATTCAGTGGCAATATTCAAACAAACAATACAAAAACGAATTGATTCTAATTTTTCAGATAATTCTGAACGTAAAATATATAGTTTCAATTTTAATTCTAATGATTGCCCTGTTCATAATGACTCTTAAGAATTCCGAATTCCAGATAGTTAATGTAAATGAAAATCAGAATGCTAAACATCTGAAAAGATCTGACAGAATTGCAAATAGACCCCAACTATATTGTGGACAAATAAATAGACAGCCAATTTGTGGTAGTTATGTAGAATAACTAATACATTTATTGTACAAATAAATGTTTAGTGTGTTTGAATCCGCTATATCAACTCAATATAATTTCTTACAGCGTACTTCAAGTTCCAGTTCTTGGTTATGTCTTGTCGAAGTTCTAGATTTGTTTGAATTAGTAATATCTTGCTAGATCATTTCAAATTCATCAGTTACTTACTCACGCCTGTTACCCCTTCTGGAGCATAGGTTGCTGACAAGGATTCGCCAATCAACACTTTCCTGGATTTTCTGTTACAGGTGTTTCTAAGTGCCACTCATCCCTTTGATGTTTACCTGCAATTGCTAGCACAATGCGTCATCTGGACCGCCTCTTACCCGTTGGCCTTCAAGATTCCAAGTTTTTGAAGTGCATACCCTACCCACCTTCAGTTGTGTTTTCTAATCTCCTCCTCATGTGGAAGTTGGTTTGTT